TGGATGTAAGAGGGAAGGGTTCTTTCCGTTTCCATTATGGTGCACAGAGACTCTCTGGTCCTCTTGGACAGATGCCCTTGGCTTGGTTAAATCGTGAAGCGGTAAGGTAATTAGCACATGACACCCAGTTACACATGCTAATAAGTCTCTTCTCCTACGTAGAGGTTAGTCCCTTAAAATTTACTTAGAGATCATCAGCAAGGATGGAAATTTTAAAAATACTTACAAAAGGTCCCACATACCACCTCCAGTGCACTGCACTTAGAATTACTTACTTGCTAATTAGTAGCTTCATAGGCAGAGAAGTGATGCCCTTTATTGGGCCAACAAAGAAAGAAGGAATAAATACATGAGCCTGCAAGCCAAAAGGAATTCTTTTCCAAGGACCTTTCCACTCCCAAAGCCAAGACGTTTATAATGAGTTGGGTGCTCTCAATAAAAGACACACATAGTTAACACATGATATATTGAATCTGGAGTCAGAAAAGATGTGTTGTCTTTTGGCTCAGCCCGAGTCTAGCCGAGCCTGCAGCAATACTGAAGGAGGCCCACTCTTCATGGACAATGGCTCTTTCTCGATCTGCCCGGGGAGGACAGGCTCAGAGAATGGTTCCCCAGGACAGGCATTGAGGCAAAGGTCCAGGAGGTGATACTAAGAAGCTACCAGTAGGGGGAGGAGGGAAGTGAGAAAGGGAAGGGAAGGAAGCCAATAAAGGGTGTACGTGTGAGCATGTTATCATGGTGGGTAACTGGGGCTGGATCCCTTTGGGGGAGCTAGTGCAGAACACACCCCTTAGAGGCGAGGGAGTTGGGATATTTATCTACCACTTCCTATCAATCAGTCATTGGTTGAAGGCTGCCTAGGTGCCGGAACAGTATTTCCCTGGTACTTCTAGAAAAGCAGGCTCCTTAGTCAGAGAAGGAATGCAGGTCGTGGGAGCTGTAAGTCAGGCTGCTGTGCACTAAACTAATTAGGGTGAGGGAATATGGACAGAGCGCTAATGGTCTTGGGGGTTTTAGGAATGTGACCCTTAGAGAACAAGCATTTGCATTTCAGACTTGGGGTGTCTTGATTGCTCACCTGGCTAATTTTTAAAGTTCTCCAATGCCAAAGTAGCTTAACGTGGATTTGTTGTCAAAAATCCCCCAAGAGTGGCAGTGAAAAACCCCTGGTCAGACAACTCTGGATCCTGGTTGGAACATGAGCTGGGAGGGCCATGGCCTGGAGGCCTGGCTGAGGGGAGGCTGCCTTCCGTAGAGGCATGGACTAGGGGCCCTGGCTATGCCCAGGGTCCCGCCTCCTGTGTGGCATTGAGCAGGTCACTGGACCTCCTACAGTCTCTTTCCAACTCTGGAGTTTTAGGCGTGATATGGTAGCCCAGGTTCCTCTTGCATACTTGCTGCCCCAGACCTGGAATCAGCCCTTTCCCCAAGAAGTCCTGGCTCTTCTCGGAGGGAACAGGCTTTAGAGACCACATTCTGCACGCCAGGGGTATTCATCGTTGCTGGGTTGTCACTGACTCTAAGCTTCTTCGATAGACAAGACTAGAAAATAGGTGAATTTTAGAAGGTGAAGATAAATCATGTGTTGAAACCGCTATTTCCAATTCAAATCTAAGATTACGGGTTTCAATCTAACTTTCTTGACTTTATAATTGATCTCTTTTCTCTTAGGCTGAAAATCTTGATTCTTAACGACAGTGGCATAATTTCTTACTTGAGTCGTCTCAAAATGACTACAATGAGACAACTGAATTCAGTTTTAGATACCTTTTTGTTTTGCTTTTTGTCTTTAGGATATTTTCTACTAGAGGTGGACAGTAAGAAGTACCCTGTTTAAAAGTCACATGAAATGACTGAAGGTGTTGAATCCAATAATTGTTAAGGTTCTGTATATTCCTTTGGGTGCATGAAATGAGAGAAACAAGAGAGGCTCCCGACTGCCCCATTCAGGTGGATGTAGTTCGTAAATTACTAAAAAAAAAATCCGTCTACAGCTTCTGCATTTTTAATTTACGGCTTGCTTGAGAAAAACATACAAGCCCTCTTGCCCTTCACGCTCATCTGCCCCGTGTGTTGCCATATTTAGAAAACTAGGAGTTCCTTCCCTTCCCTCCTTGCCTCTGGGATGTTCTGCCACTGGCCCTCGGAGGGGCTGGACTGGCTTTGTTGAGTAGCAGCACAGAGAAGCCCACGTAGTGATGAGGAGAGCCTTTAATCCCCAGAAGACTTGAAAACTCAAGCCTGGAGGTCTTGACCTTTAGCCCAGAGATCAAACACATACGTTGGTACCTGCAGGGAAGAGGGAAATGAACTAGCCATTTTTGAATCCAGAGCCTCTGATGGAAACTCCATAAGCAATGGCAGAATCTACGGAAGGCCGTGGGCCCATCGGAAGCTGAGTAGCCTGTCTAGGGCATCTCTCTAAGGATGTGGGTGAGTGGACCACACACAGGGATCAGACTACGTCACCTATGAATGTCTGTAAATGAGCCCAAATACCAAGACACTAGGCTGTACCATATGAAATGGATACTGTTGTAGGTCAAAGTGGTTAGAAATATTGTTGATTTCATCTGGTTCAACTGTATAGCTCTTAAATAAGCAATGAGAATCCAAGAACTCAGCAATCTTTCAAAAGAGATAAATGAGCCCCTACTTCTCCCTCCCAGGTTTAAGGCATTTGTCATGTTTCTCTTCTCAGGTTGATTTGCTAAATAAGGAGGCAGGTAGAGTGAGAGGAAAAGAGAGAAAAAAAGCTATAGCAGGCAGCTGGTTCTAGAGGGTCGCGTTGGAGGACAAGGGACTTGGGCCCCAGCGCTGGCTGGCACAGTTCAGGGACTCACCAGTAGATCTTGACCCCAGTCCCGCCGAGCGTACCGGAGTCCCTGTCTAACCACATTTGGCTCTGGGAAATGGAATGTGTAACCTCTTATGAAGTTCAAGGTGCGTACTGTGCAGATGTACTTCAAAGAGAAGGAGATGCCATCAGTGCCCTCAGGAATTTGTAACCTGGTAGCCACACTAGATGATGAGCTCAGTGGGGCCAAGTGTGCCCCCGCGAGCGGTACAGAGTGCCATACAGGTCTAAGAGAAACGCGCTCTGGCTCGGGAAGGGGTACAGGGAGGAGGTAGCCTTGAAGTGGAGTCAGAGTTGATAGAGCTAGCAGGGAGGTTGGAAAACGCTGGAAGAGAACCGTATGAAATTTCCATTTTGAGGTCAGAAAACGTCTGAATATTGGCCATTTCCTATGAGGCGACCCAGTGTGAAGGTCGGAGAGAGTGTCAGTGCAGGTCCCAGGAGGAGTTTACTGCCGCTGGACCAGGGATTGTGTGAAGCAAAGGGGGCAGGTTAGGGGCTGCCAAGAAGGAAGACAACACTACTTAGTGAGCATGATGTGCATGGACCAGACACCGAGATAGGCTCTGGATAATATCATTTGGTTCCCACAGTAAACCCAGGAAACACATTTGATCATCTCTAATTTGCTGAATAGGCATAGAGAGGTTAAGAACTTGCCCAGGGCCCCAAAGATTATAAATGGGAGAGCCAGGACTCAAAGTGAGCACATCTGAGTCCGAAGCCCCATACCCCTTTCTGCCTTCTTGCCACCCGGCTTTCTAACCCACACCACTGCCCCACACAGGAGCAGATATCTGTGCGGGAAGGCCACGGCCATCCTGGAAAGGAAGACTGAAGTCATTCAGTGGAGAGCCCTGCTGGCCGGGTTGAGGAACGTGCTACGTAACGGGGAGTGTCGTAGGTGCCCCAAAGCAGAGCTCAAGACAAGCTGTTTGTTTAAGGATAGAGATGGGCTTCCTTGTTTACTTTTTGCATCTTCCACCTAAGCAACGGGTCTAGAACGTGGACCTGTATGTTATAGGAGCTCAAGTATTTTGGTTGAATGGATGCGATTCAACTCCATAAATGGTTCAAGCTATACATCTTTGTGGCCCTTTCTCTCTCCTTTAACCTACCTTTCTTTCTTTTCCTGATCTCTTTCCTCCCAGATAAATTCTACTCAATGCCCAGCTCAAGTTGTACCTTCTCCATGAATCCATTCAAGATTCATGGACCCCAGGGCCCAATAGGTTCATTCATTTATTGAGCAACGAGTGATTAAGGACTTGCCATGTGCCAGGCACTGTGCCAGGCACTGCCAGTGGTGGACATGACAGACACAGTCCTTGCCCTCATGGAGGCCACATCCAGGAAGGAGGAAGGCTAGGAAGTAAAAAACGGACTGATAAGGAAGGATGTAATCAGGTAACAGTAGGCACTCTGATGAAATAAAGCAGGGGGGTGAGAGAGAGCAAGGCCACTGGGAGGCATGGCATGGGGTAAATGACAGTAGATGACCAGGAAGGCCTGAGATTCTCAACTAGGCATCAGAGATACCGAAGTAAGGGAGAGAGAGAGGGTGCCTGTCCATATGGCGCTGACCTCGAGAGGAATGAGCTCTTCCTCTAGCTGAGTGAGTGTGGCAGTCTGGCCTAGCTAGTTACCAAAGTCATTTCCTCTTTTTCGGCACACACCTGGACTACATTTCCCAGCCTCCCTTACAGTTGGGTGTAGCCATGTGTTGAGGTCTAGCAGTGGCACGTGAGCAGAAGCGATCTGCACCACTTCCAGCATAGCTCATAAAAATCTCCCACATGTTTTCCTGCACGTTCTTGAGACCTTAGAAGCCATATACTGAAGATGGTAGTTTCACAAGATAAAAAAGAGCCTGGATCCTTGAACTCCGGCTAGGAGAGCAGCTACCCACCAGTGACGAAAAACCCATTTTGGACATTATGCAAGTGAAGAATAAACCTGAATTTTATTAAGCCAGTGGAATATTGGGGGTTATTTGTTTTGACAGCTCACGGTACACTAATTCACTGAAGTCACTGTGTCATTGCCATGGCTATTCATTTGACCCATTCCCAGCCTAGGACACGGTCTTATCGTATTACTGTTTACCTTTGTACTCTTAGTTCACTTTTTCTTTCTGTAGGTCGCACCCCCTCAACTCAGACGGCAACAGTGCAGTCAGAGGCCTGCCCTTCCAAGGTGAGTGCTTTGATATCTTATCTTATCTGCTCATTAAAGTGGGATTCCGCTTTCACTGCTGCATCGTGTCAATGGATGCTCTTATGGCCCTTTGAGTCATTTGTACTTTTAGGTAGGGGAATGATCGACGTTTTCTCTCTTAGTGGGCTTAGAAGACATGTTTTCTAGACTACCACAAATACAGTCCTTCCCCGAATTATGATCATTTCCGAATTGGTGGGGCCTGGGCCAATATGACAGTACTGCTTATACAGTTGTAGCTGCTTATTTCCCTGTCAGACTGTTGACTTTTTCAGGACAAAGAGTACTTCTTGTCTATATCTCAGCACGAGGCACAGTCAGGCACATAGTAGGTGCTCAGTAAATGCTTGCTGAAGGAACGAATAGGGTTATTTAATGTTGTGAAACACACTGATGTGCTATGGACATAATCTGCACAAGTTTTTGTTCTTCAGGAAGCATCTTTAAAGCCCACCCCCGCCCCGTCAATTTACAGTCAGCACTAACAAAAGCTTTTCCTTGAAAACCAAATGCACAGAAGTCAGGCTGAATCCCGAGTCGCTCTGGGGCGTCCACAGAAATGAGGATTGTGCGGGAGGGCACACTAAGTAGGACTCTGCTTTCCTGCTGCTTTGCTAAGTGCTGGCTTTTCCCCACCTTTGTTCTTTCTTCCCAAACTCTACCTCCAAATTATCCCTGGGAGTCTCCAGGCAGAGTCATTCTTTATCCTGACACACGCCTCCCTAAGTCACCTACCCAGTGAAAGCTGCAAGCACCCACTCAGCCAAAATACTGGGCTCGATTTCTCTCCAAGGCCAATACCCAGGCAATGCACGCGCAGCTGGGTATTGGCCTTGGAGAGAAAGGCAGTGCCTTCTCAGCGCCCTCAGAGCAAGTCGCCCAGCCCCACACAGGCTCTCGCCTTCACACTGCCCTCCTGCTCCAGATAGCAACTTGTCTTTGAGTGTCACAAAGCAGAGCTTCGCTGGTCAGAGACACCAAGGCCAGACTGATATGGCAAAAGAGCAAGATCAGGAAAAGAACAGGCTATACTGTATAACCTTGAAGAGTAAAGAAATTCTTTTATTGTTGTTTTTCTTTTACAGCCTCAGACCCATGCAGCAGTACGAATTGAGGTTAAAACACAGATGCCACTAACCTGCACACCAAATGGCATGAGTCAGTGACACCAGCTCCGAGACCTGTTTTGAGCCCAAGCAACCGTCCAAGTCACACGTAGGTCACCTTGCTTTGATCTAACAACAGATCAACCTCAGAAAGAGGCATTTCTGACAGAATTTCACCCACTGAAGAAACAGCCGGCTAGTCCCTTTCTCTTCCCAGTAATAAATGAGAAGCGTTTATTACTTCACTACACTTACCCAACCCATAGACCACCTTCTAAACTGGCTGTTTCCCGAAAGCTGCCAGTGAATTCAATCAAAGGTATAGATGCAGTCCTGTGTAGACATGGGACAGACCCCTTTTAGTGGGGCTGTCATGGGGCCCCCTTCTGTCATTTCCGCAGGGAATTAGATATTAGGGCAAGGATGTTTACATGAAGAGGTGAAGAGAGTGGAGGGAAGGCCGGTAGTACTTAAACAAAACGTGGCGATCTCCTTTTAGTTAAGAATGAGGTTCAGCCAATGTTCTCTCTTCTTAAAACAAATTTTCGTTAAAGGCTGTCAAAGCAATAGCTTCGGTGAGCACATTTATTTACCTTTTATCCACGCGTAAAGGTTTGTTCTTTCCAGAACTATAGCCACCTGGGACAAGTGACATGCAGAGGTGTCCAGATTCCCATCTCTCTCACCACTGTGTCAGCTTACCAGTGTGCCCTCCCAGGTCTTCCTCAGATATTGGCTACTGGCTAAAGCCCATTCCAGAAATACCAGTGTCCTGTGTGGTGGCGTTTTCTGCAAACCCACAGAAGGCAGGATCTACTGGGACTTTCCAGGCAAACTGCCTTTTCAGGGGTAGCAGACTCCAGAAGTTCCCTCCTCCTGGGGTGCATTCAAGCCAGTGGCCCGGAGCAGGCCGTTCAGGGTCTGAACTGTAGGACTGTCAGGGCCTTTCTAGTAACAAGTATGGACTTGAGCTTTTGTATTTATTTGGATAGACCCCAAAAGGCTCATCTCAACAATTAAGAAAATCCTAGTTGAATATTTACTTGTTAGCTAGGACTCCCAGACCGTTAGGCCCTCCCTTCGCCTCCTGCTTCCCTGGACCGCACGTCTCCATCACGCTCTTACTCCACTTCCTTTCTCTGTCCCCTTCACACTCCTTTCCCTTTTGTCCTGGGCGAGGGCCTGGGTCTCTAACAGACCAAGACTAGCCTGCCCTTTCTGGATATGTTAACATTTTTCAGCCTGTAAAGAAAGTCCTGGTGGTGGGGGGGTTTTTTTGTTGTTGTTTTTCTTCCATTTGGTGTACAGGGCCAAAGCAATAGCTGTTATGGCCATGACAAGAATGAAATCATTGAGTACTGAGAAAAATCAAACCAAGAAAGGAATGACTTGTCATTCTCTGATCTTCACTCTTTATCCACTAAGACACACACACACACACACACACACACACACACACACACACACACCAACGATGCTCACGCAACAGGTATTAGTCAGGCACCTGCATGGCCCGCCATTGAGTAACGTTCACCCTTGTTCCTACAACTTATTTCAGGCCTGCTTCTCCCACTTTCACGTGCGGACGATAATCATGATGTCAACAACAACTTGCCATCTTTCTCTGAAGATTCATTCAACAACTAATTACTGTGCATACACTGAGTGCTATCCCTCCCTGAGGCACTGAGGTGTGAAGTCTCTGTTCTCCTGGAGCTTGCTGTCTAGTAGGAGACAGAGGGGACAAATAAATAAACACATAGATACGATATCAGGTGGTATATGTTCTGTGAGGAAGCAAAGAAGTGGGGTAAAGGACTAAAGACTGGTGTAGCAGACGAGCTCGGTGCCTTGCCAGCCTCCCCGCGGCATTCACCTGGGCACGTGGAGGCTGCTTCCCGTGAGCCCCTGAGGCCCTCTGCCTGGGGGCGGTTATTTTTCTGGCCGTGGGAGAACGCTTGGCCCCCAAGCGGGGTAAGCAAGAAGTATTAGAGAACATCTTTCTCACTTTCCTCATCTCATAGTTAGTTACGATATCTCCTTTAATCCTTTCTTTCACTATTTCCTCCAGTTGGTTCACTTCTCATTTCTCTGATGGCTCTTCTTCTGAGAGTTCTGCCATTTAAATAAAACGCGTCTACCACTGATTGGGGCAGGGAAGCTGGACCGTCCACAGCCCTGCTTAGGGAGGCAGCCTCCAGGCGAAAAGCCGCAGGCTCCCCCAAATTTTTTTAGAAGATGGGAGACAGATCATCTTCTCCTGCTCCATCGCCATCATCGTCAAGGACACCTTCTCCTGAGAACCCATTATCTGCTGAACTTCGGGCCATTTGTTTGACCGTCATCATCTCTGACCCTCACACCAACTCGGAAAACCAGACAGTAACTACAGCCCAGCCCAGGGAGGCAACCTTCCCTCCTACAGCAGCCGAGGCGCTCCCCTCATACCTCTGGCTACACAGGACACACCTCAGCAGCGATTCCCGTGGCCACAGTGCCCTCACCATGCATTCTGGGCCCTGCCAAGGCAGTTACTTTGATCCTGAATAGGAGACTCCAGATCACACGGGATGTGCAGTTCTTTTTAGGCAGCTGGCATGAGCTTAGCACAGATGCCTCCCGGAGCAGGACTGCTTTGCTGCCTCCTGGGAGGTCCATCATCAAAACCTCCTGCCCTGACCCACATTGCGACTCTCCCCATTTGTGCTTCTGGCTGGAGCTACCAGGTAACCGACGTGGGAGTCTATGAGTGCTTCATTTGGCTCAGAGTTCCTTGTGGAGGAGCTGGCGTCTCAAAGTTGGTTAGCAGTAAGCGAGCCCTGAGGTGTTTGTTAGCTATTAAGGCCTGAAAGGTGGGCACAACTGGGCTGCGGTCTGTGTGGGTGGTCCCCAGGAAGTCCCCTAGTGTCTCTAGGATTCCGGTTTCTCTCAGGCTGGAAGCAATCACGGATAGTTTTTAGGGCTCCGTTTCACCCCTTTCTTGTCCCTAGTGATTACCAAATGTCTATGTGTACATCTACATTTTCAGCTTCCTATGTAGTCAGACTGAGGCCGAACGACAGAGTGTCAGCTACTAGCCAGCTGGACACAGGCAGAATTAATTAATGTACACCACTTCAAGGCTTGGTCCTTATAAAACCTCCCAGGAGCCTTGCTTCTCTCTTTTCCTCCACTGCTTGGGAACTACACATTCTAGGCTTACATCAGACTTTGTGTGAGGAAGAAATAGAACTATTATTGTATTAAAGCACTGAGCTTTGTTGGTTTGTCTGTTAGCATAGCATAGCGTAGCCTATCCTGACTAAAATACATTTTCTTTTATTCTGCCTATTCATTCATTCATCCACTCATTCAGATGTCATTCGTTCACTTGATATTAATTAAGTGCCTACTACATGGCTGCACACTAGTACTTTAGCATGAATATACCTTGGGTTCTTCCCCTGGAGAAGAGGTGGCTGTCTAGGTGAGGAGATGGAGATGGGAGCAGAGACGATAATAATACAGTGTGATAAGTGTGTACAGGGTGCATAACATTGTGTTATGTGCAGAGAAATAAACATTCAGAGGCCTTTACCTTTAGAAAACTTCAACTGTACTCTTTCTAGTTTCATTCTTTATCCTTTTTTCTAGACAGTGCTCACCCCTGCATACTGTGCCAGTTCTAAAAAAAAAAAAAAAAACAACCCAAAAACTGCATTTACCACCACTCTGTCCTTCCTACCAGCCCATCATCCCAAATCCATCTTCCTGAAGTACCATTTCTATAGGTCATGCCCCCGTCTGAAAATCATTCGGGGGGGGGTCTTTCTTTCATTGCCCACATAAGGTCCAAACTCCTTAATTTGGCATTGATCCAGTTCTGAGCTATCTTTCTAACAAACATTATTTTCCTCTTCTCCTTCAACCAGATTGGCGTAATCCATGTCCAACAACCCACACCATTGGTGATCCCACTCCCATGTCTTTTCTCACACCACTGTTTCCTCAGAATTCCCCTCCTTGTCTGCCTAAGTCCCTTTCTCTCTTCAGAGTCCCACCTCAAGTGATATCTTTGGTCTTTCTGTCTACCCCAGTCTACAGTATTAATATATTCAGCAACTTAGATGAAACGGACAATTCCTTGGAAAAAAACTAGCAAGGGACAGAGAAAAGAGAAATAGTCCTGTATGTCCTAAAGAAATTGAATTCTAAATCAAAACCTTTCCCACAGAGGAAATTCCAGGCCCAGATGGCTTCACCAGTGAATTCCATAAAACATTTTAGTAAGAAATAATCCGATTTACAAAAATTCTTTCAGAAAATAGAGGAGAACATTTCCCAATACATTGTATGAAGTTTGTATAACCTTGATACCGAAACCTGATGAAAGACACTTCTAAAACATCTATAGCTAACATCATATTTAATGGTTAAACACTGGCTGCTTTCTCTAAGATAGATAGGGAAGAAATCAAAACATCTACTTTCACCAGTATAGTAAGACACAAAGATACGAAAGGAAGTAGCAAATACTGTCATTTTCAGCAAAATGATTGTGTAGGTTTAAAACCCTATGAAATCTACAAAAACTGCTAGAACTAAAGAGTAAAATTAGAAAAGTCACTGGTCAGTATATTAAAAAAATCAATTGTATTTCTCTCTCTCTCTCTCTCTCTCTCTATATATATATATATATATACTAGTAATCAAAACGTGGAGAATTAAATAAAAAGGAATACCATTTACAATATTATCAAATATGTAAGTCTAACAGAAGATTGTGTGTCCTCTACCCTAAAAACTGCAAAACATTCCTAAGAGAAATTATGGAAGGCCTAGGTGATCAAAAGCTATACTATATTCAGGGATTAGAAGACACAACATCGTTAAAGATGTCTATTCTCCCCAGATGCATCTATCGATTCAAATCAATGGCCAATCAAAATCCCAGCATTTTTAAAAGAAATTGACAGGCTGATTCTGAGATGTATGTGAAAACGCATAGGTTCTAGAATAGCTAAAATAATCTTGAAAGAGAAGAACAAATCGGGAGGATTTATGCCACCCGATTTCAAGACTTAGTATAAATCTACAGAGGTCAAGACAGGGTGGTTTTGGCAAGAGAGCAGACATACAGATCGGTGGGGCAGAACAAAGGGTCCGGAAATAGAACCGCACACATACAGCTGATTGATTTTTCGAAAAAGGCGTTAATTCAATGGGGGAAAAGAAAGGTTTTTGGTTTTCTGTTTGTTTGTTTTACAGATGGTTCTGGAACAAATGAATATACGTATGGGAAAAAATTAATTTTGACCCCGACTTCACTCCATACACAAGTAATTACATGAAGATCACAGACCTAAACACAAAAGCTAGAACTATAAAATCTCTGGAACAAAATACATGACAAAATCTTCACGAACTTAAGGGAAGCAGATTTCTCTGACAGGGTTCAAAGGGACTAGCCACACAAGAGAATACTGATGAACTGGACTTTGTCAAAATTTTAAAAATGTCTGCTCAGCAAAAGAATGCCATTTAGAAATAAATTGGCAAGGCACGGGCTGGGAATAAATATTTGCAATCCATATATTTGACACAGAACTTTCATTCAGAGTATAGAAAGAGCTACTACAAATCAATAATTAAAAAAAAAACAAAGAACCCAATTAAAAATGAGGAGAAGGCATAATGACATTTCAGAAGAGAAGGTAGATATATGAATGTCTAGTAAGCTCATGAAAAGACATTCAACATTATTTGTCAGCAGAGAAATTCAAATTAAAACCACAATGAGATACCATTTCACATCCACTGTAACGACTACTGACGTACCAAGCGTTAGCGGGGATACAGAGCGACTAGAGCTCTGATACATTGCTGGTGGGAGTGTAAAATGGTACAACCATTTTGGAAGAAGCTCTGCCAGTTTCTTATAAAACTAAACATACACTTAGCCTGTGACTAAGCATTTTCCCTCCTAGATATTTACCCAAGAGAAATGAAAATGTAAATCTACAAAAAGACTTGTACAAGAGTATTCCTGTCAGCTTTTATTCATAATGGCCCCAAACTGGATACGGCTCAACTAAATAGGTAAACTGTGCTGTATTCTTACAATGGATTACTGGCTCAGCAGTAAAAAGGAATGAACTACTGATACATAAAACAATGGGAGTAAATTTCAAAAAGTATTACGCTGAATGAAAGAGCCCAGATATTTTTTAAAAATCATACTGTATGATTCAATTTACATGTAGTGCTTGAACGGGCAAATCTAATCTATGTGACAGAAATCATAATAACGGTTGACAAAGCGGGTGGAAGATTGGAAAGGGGTACTAAAATTTGGGGGGGTGATGGAACTGTACTATATATTATTTTGGGAGGTGGTTGCACAGACGTATATGTCACAGCTCATTGAACTCAACACTTAAAATGTGTACACAACTTAATTGTATGTTAAACTATATCTCAATTTTAAAATTACTCCTTCCACCACCCCCAGAAAACCCTGTTGGGTGCTACTGTAATGTACTGTTATGATTTTCATACGCAGTTATCCATTTTAAACTTTCCTAGATCCCTCGGCAGGACCCGCACGATACTTGGGACTCCATATTTGTCGAATCAATCAATGAGTAATAATCAGACAGTGTAAAAGAGAAATAAAAGGTAAAGGAAAACTAGAATACGACACCATACATAATTCCACTGTTTCCATTTTTCCGGGAGTCAACACCATTGCAAACGCAGGTCCCTGTCTCCCAACACGTAACAATAACCCAACGTCTAAGACATCTTGCTTTTATTTACAATAAAAGAGGCAAGGAAATAAGAGAAAGCTTTTGTCTCCTACCTCCTTTTGAGGTGACACCACATAATTATTACTCTGTTTCTTAACTCTAGTGCGAGAGACCAAAAGACATCTGATGAATCACCTTTTCATTCATAAAACCCTGCTTCTATCTTTCATCGCTTTTATCCTCCTAGAATAATAGCAGAGAAACAGTACTTGACGGGCCTACATTATCAGACTCTATTGGAAAGGTCTAGATAAGAGTGCTGAACCACCTATTAGTATTCTGCATGCAAACCCTTCTCCATAACCCAGAGTCATCCGTATCCTGGCAACCCTCAGAATTTCATTCTCATTGAATTGCTAGATCTTTATCAAAATATAATTATAGCCTTAATTCGAAAGATAAATTTTGATTGCCGGTGCCATGCCGAAAGGAAGGAATAATCAGGTGGGAGAGCGCTTAGGCACAATTGTTAACCATATAATCAATGTCATGGATCACCCATCCCCTAAAAAACATAACTGTGGGGCAAGTTGTGAGGGGTAGAGCAAGGAGGGGAAGAAATCATTGAGGCACCAGACTTACATTATGTTTGCTCATTTTCTCATATTGTTGCTTAAGTACTTGTCATCTCTTCCCAACTGGAAGAGTTTGGGGGAGGCCCATGCTGTGTGTCCTGCTTCTGTGTGTGCTCACAGTGGCCCAGTCCGTAGCAGGAAGTAACGTGGTCTACAAGCCTCCTATCTTGGGTCAGGTCTCCTGGAAGCAGACTTTGAGATAGACAGTGCTGTGTGGGAAGCTTACTAGCAAATGCTCTTCAGGTCAAGACCTGTGGAGGGAATTAAGCAGGACTGGGCAGAGAGAGAAGTTGGGCTGTGATACCGTCACGACAGAGGATCAGCCAGCCCCATTGGGGGAGCTCTGGAGCTGGGATAGCTCTGCAGAATTGTCCTGAATTGCAGCGTGACCAGTCGTTGGATGTGCGCTGACCTGGGAAGGGCTGTGACCCTGGGCAAGGTGGCTCTCTTCAAGGACAATTCCCAAAGAGGGACTTGGCTGTGAGGCGTCAGCCACCAGTGCCCAGCTCTGACGAATGAGTGCTTGGGGAGCAAGCGCTTGAGTCCTGATGAGGAAGGGGGATATAGGTGGTGCATCAAAGTAGCCACTGCACCTCCACTGGCTACAGCGACTCAAGGGCCTGGGGAAGATGATCCGAAATGGAACCCTGACAGATTGAACCCACTAGCCCATTTGTACAGGAGAGCAGCTCTCCATCCTGTTGTGCATGCTAAGTCACCTCAGAATGTGTGACTTGCTGGGAAAGAGGAGGTGGAGATCAGAAATAGTCTTGTCCCCTGATCCAACTGGCATGCTCCTGACTTGAGGGTGGGTACTGATACTTAAAAAAAAAAATCAATAGCTCCGAGACACAGTCTGCAAGGGGCCAGAGAACAGAAGTCACACACTTCAGTTCCCTTTGCTTTTGGGCAGTCACATGGGCAGCCTCACTGCTTCCATGGTCACAAGTGGTTCATTAGTTTGGGGATGGAGAAAGCACCAGGCATATATGACTGTCTTTCTCCATTGGAGTAAAAGGAATAGATGTATTTAACCTACATTTCCATGTACAGTCAGCTTCTCCTGAGACCTTTGGGAATGCTCAAATCTGTAAATACAGAAGCTTCAGAGTTCACCACTGTGCTAGGTCGTCTGTTTCCACCCCTCCTGGTATTCACGCCCTTGGTTAATTCCCTGCCCTGGAGTCTGGGCTGGTCCTGTGACTTGTGTCATCCTGTTGGTAAAACAAGTCACAGGCCCAGCCTTGAGAAGGCCTGGAAGCTTCTGCCTTTGCGCTCTTGGGGACCCTAAGCCACTAGGTAAGAAGTCCAGCTTCTGGACTTCTGGCAAGGCCCCTTGGACAGGCCCTGAGACTACTACACAGAAAGAGACAGAAGCACAGCCAACCCAGCATCCCAGCGGAGCCTAGCCCCCAGGTGACATAGCAACTGACTGGCCACCGGCAAGACTATCACAAGAACTGCCCAGTGAGCGCGTCCCACACTGCAGAATCTTGGACCAGCCGATTGGCTGTTGTTTCTTAAGCCATTAAGTTTTGGGGTGGATTCGTACACAACAATAGATAGACAAAACAACCCTAACTAGCAATTACCTCGAGTCAAAGGGCTATGCTGGCCTCGCCCCACCCCTATCAAGTCAACTGCCTTTTAAGGTTGAACTGAAGAGTCCTTCCTCATCTGATGGCCGCTTTTCACAAGGAAACCGACATTTTTATTACATCATAATAGTTACCGCCTACCCAGTGATGCATAGACCAAAAAATTTTTAAGGAGAAAAAAAATCCTCACTAGGCTGTCGGCGCCGGAGGTCAGGGATTGGGCGCTCTCACTAGCTGTGTAGCTGGGGGCTCAAATTCATGCCTCAGTAAGTTTACAAATGGCTCCCTGTCATGGACCTCCAAGGTCATTCACTAAGAGAAGAAACTCAGAATATTAAATCCTGAGATTCAGGGTCAGCGTTGATTGGACACGCTAGAGAGGGCTGGACACGGAGCCCACCAGGTCAGAGATGGAGTGTAGCAAGATGATCCAGGGCTGGATCCTGGAGCCAGATCACCTGGGATCAAATCCCAGATCTGTCACTTGTTAGCTGTAAAACCCTGGGCAAGTTACTTAACCTCTCTGTGCCTCAGCGTCCTTATCTATAAAGTTGGGATAATAATAGTCCCTCACTCGCAGGGTTACTGTGAGGATTAAGTGAGTTAATAATACATGTACAGGGCATAGACCAGTGCCTGGCTCTTCTGAGCCTAACTCTAAGTGGTTCTACAGTAAGCAAAACAAAAGAAAACA